CTGCTGCTACTACTACCACTGCTGCTACTTCTCTTACCTACTAGTGCCACGCGTACGACGTATTTTTCAGTATTACTGCTACACGTATTAGTATTACGACTATCAGTTTACAGCTATTATTTCTATTGCGACTGCTACTACTACTTCTACTGCGTATTTCAGTAGTATTATTATCACGACTGCTACCGCTACTCACTATACTTACTACCCTCACTACTACGACTGATATTGCTACGGTTACGGCTACTACTACTGCTACTACTACTACTACTACTACTACGACTACTACTTGTACTGCTTTGCTACTACTACTACTACTACTACTACTACTACTACTACTACTACTACTACTACTACTACTACTGCTACTACTACTGTTACTATTACTGCTACCACAATCGCTATTATTACGATCGATACTATTACGTAGCACCCCGCAGTTGTGGATAAGAGTGAGGGGGCGGCGAGGACGTCGTCAGTCTGCGGGGCTCTGAAGAAGCCCGCCGCAGGCTCCCAATGCTTACAAAGTGTGCAGTATTCCCGCCGCAGGCGCAGATTCTTTCGTTAAAGCAATGTGGGTGGATCGCGGGTTGGGTCGCTGGTGGGTCACGGGCTGGGTCGCGGGTGGGTCGCGCATGAGTCGCGGGTGGGTGGCGGGTGGGTCGCGGGGTGGGTCGCGGGTGGGTCGCGGAATGGTCGCGGGCTGGGTCGCGGGATGGGTCGCGGGGTGGTCGCGGGGTGGGTCGCGGGTGGGTCGCGGATGGTCGCGCAGGGGGTCGCAAGGGGTCGCGGGTGGGTCGCGGGCGGGTCGCGGGGGTGGGTTGCGGGTGGGTCGCGGGTGGGTCGTGCGGTGGGCCGCGGGGTTGGTCGCGAGATGGGTCGCGAATGGTTCGCGGGGCGGGTCGCAGGGGGGACGACGACAACAAACAAAGCCAACAACAACAACAACGCAACTATAACCACTCACCCATGGACAATGAATGACCTTTCGGCCCTATCCTTCTGACTACTACTGCGGCCAGTACTACTACTACTACTACTACTACTACTACTACTACTACTACTACTACTACTACTACTACTACTACTACTCCTACTACTACTACTACTACTACTACTACTACCTACTTAACTACTACTACTACTACTGCTACTGCTACTACTACTACTACTACTACTACTACTAACTCTGCTACTGCTACTACTACTGCTACTACTACTGCTACTACTACTACTACTACTACTACTACTACTGCTACTACTACTGCTATTACTACTCCTACTGCTACTACTACTACTGCACTACTACTACTACTACTACTACTACTACTACTACTACTGCTACTACTACTACTACTACTACTACTACTACTACTACTACTACTACTACTCTACTACTACTACTACTACTACTACTACTACTACTACTGCTACTTCTACTGCTACTACTACTACTACTCCTGCTACTACTACTTCTACTACTACTACTAATACTACTACTACTGTCACTTCTACTGCTACTAGTACCCTTTTACTAATATTACTACTGGTACGATTCCGAATATGACTACCACTACGACCTCGACAACTACGTACTACTACCACTACCAGTATTATTCCACTACTATTACTACCAATACTACTATTATTATAACTATCCACCATTATTACTATTACTATCATTACTAATACTGGTACTACCACCACTACTCTAACTATTACTACTACCACGACTACTACTACGACTACTACTGCTACTACTACTACTACTACTACTACTACGACTACAGCTACTGCTACTACTACTACTACTACTACTACTTCTACTACTACTACTGCGACTACTACTACGATTACGACTACGACTACTACCGTCACTACTAGTATTGCTATTACTATTAGTACTACTACTACTACTACTACTACGACAACGATTATTTTGGTACTACGAGTACTACTACCACGACTACCCGTATTACTACTACTTCTACTACGACTACTACTATTGCGATTGCCATTGATACTACTATGATGTATGCCCCCTTCTATTAGCACTGCCATCACTACTACTACTACTAGTACTACCACTACTACTTGCAGTAGGGATCACCATTTCATGTACGACGTACTACTGCCTTATTACAGTTACTACGACTATTCTCACTCATACTACACCCATGACTACCACTACGCCTGCTAGTACCGCGACCGCAAATTCTATCACGACGAGTCCCACCTCTACTTGTACGCCGCCTTTACTTCCACGACCGCTGTTCTTGTTATCGGTGGAAGTTTGAATAGTTTCGTTGGGGCTTCTCAGTTGCCCAATGACGCACACCATCGCAAAGTTGTATTATGAATTACGCGCGCCATGGCGAACTACCACTACACCTTCTAGAGCTCGTGATATGCACCTCTGTACTTAAATATGCACGTCTGAACCGTATCCGTATTTGTTGTGTGTATATATATATATATATTGAATCGTATACGCATCACT